CGCATTGCCACGAAATGCAGACTTATGGACTCTTCATCCTCATTGTATCATCTTATAACTTCCATCTTCGCCTAAGATTAGGGATTCGAATGGCGGCTTCGTATGGATTTATATCGACGCATGTCTTGCACACACTTCTTCCATCTATCGGGGAAAGGTATGTTACCTGGCTTAAGTTCCCTTGCCAGACAACTCAAAAATAGCCGGATAGACGAAAACGTTGTGCTGCACATCGTTGTTTATTCCATGCGTTATCTGTTCTTAATTTGAAACGACACAGATAACTTGAGAAATTTCCATGACAAGTGAAAAATTACCTCAGGAAAAAATTAATTTCTCCGTTATTACTCCCCACCCATTGTTCTACGTTTGAGGCAGGGTGTCCTGTCAACGTGCTCTGCCGGATAGTAGTCTTATGTCTACAGACACCGCCGTAAAAACCAAACACCGTTCGACCACACACTTTCTTTCTCCTTGACCATCACCGTATTTGGATACGTATAGAGAAGGCCAAAGGAATCATTAACCTGGACGATAAAGCCGAATATTCTTCGCACTTCTTCTAGACGGAGTAAATGGATATAAGATGTTATGAATTTCTTTTACCCAATGAAATTTTGGAAGCCGTGGAAGGCCAAGAACAAAAACAATTATCCCGGTCTATCAAGGTCAAACGCTTGCCTTACGTAACAACGATTTTTCAATATAAAAACACTACGCCCAATATTATAAAAGTCATTAAGAAAACTTTAGCAGCGCTTAGTTGGAAGGTACTGCTATCCTAGTGCTGGTCCTTTATAATACTGGTTTCAGTCGATGGCTTGTTCTTTATTTGGACAGCCATTGTATCCTTATGACAAGTATGGTGCTTAGTAGCCTCAAGAAGTCTTGAAATTTATATTACTTCGAAAAGATCGGAAAACGTCTAAATAAAAGCTTCAGTATACGCATTTTTCATCGTATACATATGACTTTTGATTATCTGTCCGTCTGTCCGGCTGATAATCTGTGTGTATCCGCGTAAAAATTTTCCTGCTTGCAAAACATTTCCCGCTTGCAGTTCGCCAAAAACTTTGGAAGTTCTTGCACAAAAGTTGATATTGAAAATGGGTCAAATCGGCCAAGGGATACGCTCACAATGCAAACTTAACTGCGAACACGTCTGCTTTCTGACTATTTTGCTAATTACTTATAAGCTACATTAGAGCCATGCCCATCCTACAAAGCAGCAAAATTAAATTTTTTGCTCATTAGTCATAAACTGCACCAGTTACGACGATAAAAATTGACACAAATATTGTATAGATGATTCCATAACACCACAGGAATGGAAAAAGTCTGCCGAATCCACTCGATGTTGTAGAGTAAGGAAATTTCATTCTTCTTCGAGCAATTTTCTTAAGATAAAGTTGGTGGTCACAAACGAATATAATTTCCATAGTTGTTTTCGGTACACGTGAATCTAAAGGTGAGGTGAAGCATAAAATACTTAGTCCCCGTCGGATATGTTATCGATTTCATACTTGTTTTTTATACAAATCGAAATAACTGGAAACCATAGAGTGGGCTGCGGTCTTACGTCATCCTATAGTTGTTCAACTTTTCAAAATAAGCCATTATATTGGAAGTGGTCGAAAAAGTTGACCATTACAAACCATTTTCAACAATGTTCGTCGTTGGGTCAAAACACGTCGGTCTAGCAAATTTCCTCAAAATATCTGAAAATTTGCCACTTGTGGATTGAACACAAATTACATGGACTGGCATCGGACGGACAAACAGGCTTAGATCAATTCAGAAATTGATTCCGAATCGATCGGTATAATAAAAGGTGAGTCTTTCTTAAGCCCTTCTGCATGTTACATACGTCCGTACAAAGTCAATATGCTCTGTATCACAACCAGTGTAGGTTGTATAGAGTTGAGAGTAGAATCACAAAAAAAGTTTTACGTTACAATATTTTTTCACCTTCAACTTATCGGTTTTTAATAAGACAATTTTCGGCACTGTATGTAGACTTTATCGGCCTCCTGCATTTAGGTATATGGATGATCTTTGATAAGTACTTGTGATGGAAAAAAAAAAAAAATTATTCTTCCTACATTTGCTCAGTGTATTGAGCATAAAACACATAATTGCTTATTGCTTTATCCTGATAATGTTCTGATCTTATTTGTGTACAAAAATTGCATTCAACGCTTATGCGTACATATAGATAAAAAGAAAAAAAAAAAAAAAAATACCGATTTATAAGAACGTCAAGCAATATCCATCACAAAATAAATTGGTTTTATAAGCTTTTTGAGTTTATTTTTATCTCTCTCTTCTCTCTTCTCTCTTTTCTTTTTTTTTTTCTTAAATTTCTTTCGAAATGTCATCCAAGATTAACAGCATAAGTACGATAGGATTGGATGAGTTTTCTTGTTGAGTTCATTTATTGGACATGCAATAATTTGTAAAATCATCAATGCTTGAAATGATTCCAGTTATGTAACACTTGTCAAAGTAGCAACGGATCAATTAATTCGATTTAATGCTCTTACAGAGACGAAATTCAAAGAAATACAAAAAAATAAACAAACAAATCTTTGCGGTTTTTTAAATATTTTTTTTGTTTTTAATACTTGAAAATCAAAAAAAGAAGAAGAAGACGAAGAAGAAAAATGTCTTCTATGCGTTGTGCGTTCAAAATGATTTTGTGTTGTTGTCCGCTCTCAAGGATGTCCTTGATGATAACGCCATCCAACAAACTATTGCCATCAACTATCATTACCTCTAACACTACTTCTACTATTACAACTGCTCGTACTACACTTTACTATCGCTACTGCTACTACTAAATCACTTCTATTGTCGTATCCGGCAATTCTACTTCTTTTTTTTCTTTTTTTTTACATTCTATAAGCGTTAGAAAAACTAAAAAAAAAACAGAAGGAAGAAAAAATGTAAAAAAATCCAACAACAAAGACTACAACATTTTTTTTCAGTTTAAAAATTGTCAAAAACACATGCAGTCCTTACTTACCTCATCCCATTACTACAAACCCTTCCCTCTCTCTCTCTCTACCACTTTTTGGCTATTTTATTCGATTTCTGCAGAAAGTACCGTTTTTTCATAAAGTTATGCAACTGCAGAAAGGCAAACGACAAACAAAAAATTTAAGTTAAGACATAGTTTCATGTATATATATATATATATATATGTACGATGTATACTCGATATATACTTCGTTTTATTTGTGCGCAGAGCAACTTAAGAATTCATTGTTTAAATTGTCGCTGCTTATGGCCTCATGTGTGTGCAACAATGTCGAAACAAAAAATGCGATTTGTAGCAGTGGTCGTGCTTCAATATTTTGTTGACAATAAAAAGCCGCTTGATGAAAACAGGAAAGCGAAAGGATACTAAATTTTAATATGTTTACATAAAGTTTAAAGAAAAGTTCTTCAGTTCTTTGTTAAGTTTTTCTTTTTTTTCATGAAACGCTTGCATAAAACAGTGAAGTTAAAATTTCATTTAATTAATGATTTAAGTGGTAAATGTTTAAGATTTAAGTTTTGTCGAGAGAGAATGTTTCCCTCAATATCTATCTCCTCTATTTTCTGCGTTTTATTTAAAAAGCTTCGGGTTTTTTGAACAACTTGATGCGGGAAAAACATTTTTCATGTTACGTAAATTTTATCAAGAACTTTGCGATGCCAATATTTCAAAATAAAAAAAAAAAATAAAAAATAGTAATTTTTAAACCTATAAAATAACATGAAGGAGAAGGTCGTGTATTCTATTTCCTATTTTTTTTTTTTGAAAATCCCACTTTGCACCACTAGGGACATAGGGAATATCTCCTCGCACGGTTTATCGATCATATATGTTTGCCGAGTTATAAATGTAAGAATGCACTGATGAAATGGCCTTCAGTTTGACAACATTTGTTTTTATTTTACTCTACACCACTTATGGTACAGAATATATTAGACTCGCCTTTTACTATGCAGATGCATTCAGAATCATAATCTGAATTGATTTAAGCCAGTCTATCCATCTGTCCAGCTGATGTCTATCCATATATTAGTTTGGGGAAAAAGAAATCCATTATTTTTATATGAACTTCAGGACTTTATTTAACATGCTTCGGATTGTCCGATTTGGGTCAAATATGCACCGTTTTGTTGTATGATTTGTTGCCATTTTAAAGGCAACTTCGCAATTCTTGAGACATTTTGATGGAATTTCGTATAGTGACGTGTTTTGGCCCAAGGGCGAACGCTATTCAAGAGAGTTCGGATCAGTCCACGTTTTCAACCATTTCCCATATTACGCCCTATTCTGAAAAGTCGCTATATGGAAAAAATTACAATTTTCAAAATTTCTCGGAAAAAGTGCCTAAGTAGTAGCATTTCAGCATTTTAGATTGATATGAAAACATTGGACCGGCTGGGTCAATTTTTGAACGCCAAATTTCATAGTTCTTCTTACCAACAAGGTGTAAGTTTTAATATTTCCTGTTGAATATTGATTCATAAGAGTAAACTGACAAACAAGTCAACCAAATTTAGACAATGTGGACTGACAAAATATCTGTGAAGATAACCGTTCTAAGTTTATCTTTACCCTCAAACTTTATGGCCTGACGAATAGCTGTAGCCTGTAGGCTGTAAGCGTTGATGCACTTTTGCGTATTGTGTAATGCGATTCATTTTGACTTGCCCTGTCGCGTCTGACTGCCTTGTCGAAGAATAAGTCATCAGGCGTGGTACTTCCAAATTCTATTGCAAGTGCATAGGCGATACATTCATTTTTGCGAATCGGCGAATGCTTACCACAGATACCACACAGTTAGGCAGACGGACAGATGGGCAGGTGATCAGAGGAACATGTTTAGGTGCATTATTAGTATTAAATATTGGTACACTATAACTTTGAGTAGACGTGGGAAATTTTTTTTTGGAATCGCCATGCCACATTTATCTGCTACAGCTTATGAGTAATGAGCAAATCCCAATTTTAAAGGTGCACTCCATTTACGTGTCGTTTCACCGATTTGGGCCATTTTGGATATCAACTTGCGGACAATGCTTCAATGTTTCTATCAAATTCTAAGTCGATAGTTTCATTTTTGCTGCCAGGAGAAAGTTTTTGAACAGACATTACGCAGACGGGCAGACGGACCTGCTTAAACAGGTTTAGATGCTGATCAAAAGTGTATATTATATACTTTGTGGGATCTCTTATATTTTCTCCTGCGTGTTGCAAACGTTTTGACAAAGTGATTATAGTCCCTATTCATTGGTGGTAGGTATAAAAAAATGAAGAAGTGCGAAAATAAGAGAATTCCAAAAAATCATAGTTCAGAAGAAAAAATTTAAATGAAAGAAAAAACCAAAGGAAAAAAATTTCAAACCAAAACAAATTTATTAAGAAAATTATTGTCCTGACGCACTACAGCCGACATGATGGCTTCCGAGGGAATGATAGTAATATTTTTGTAATGACGACGAAATGTACGCCAATCTTTCCTATCATCTGAGCAAGAAACCAAATACAGTTTTCCCTGTTGCACTTGATTAATTCTATCATATTCGTTGTGAACATGGCCACCGGCACAATCGATAATAGTTTTAATTTCTCTCGGCTGGGGCTTAACATTTGAAGTTACAAAGAATCCATAACCTTCAAAGAGACTGTTTTTCTTGGCCATATTTAAAGAGTTTGCAACGGAAAATTTGTATTTTTTCTCAAATACAGGATCGCTAAAGAAATAGTTTTTAACAGGTTTTAAGGAACGAGTTTCATTCACTTTTTGAATCCATTGTGTCGTGACAATCGGTATTCCTTTTGCCATGGCTAAGAGAAATTTATAGGTGCGAGCACCTTTATCCATAATTAAAATTTCACTATTCAAAGGATCATCGGTTACGGTCCATTGACCTTTGGAATTTTGTATTAGCTCATTAAGAAAATTTTTATCCACCATTGTAGTAGATATTTGCAAGCACTTTTTTGATAAAGCGGAAGTTGATGGCATATTTGATTCTTCCTCAGCACGCTTCTTTGCGCCCTTAAAGGATTGGCCTGAAATATGCGTGTCGCGACGTTTGCGCTTAAGTTCATTTTTTAGTACCATTTCTTGGACAGGTTTGCAAATCGTAGGACCTTGGTTTTGTTTGGACCGTGCACTGGTTTCTATAATGCGCTTGGAAGGTTGTTTGGTTAAATGATTGCTTCCATCACCAATTTCTAATTGTAGACTTAGGCGAGTCTTTCGTTTCTTTTCAAGAACATTTGAACTTGCATCGATTGCCTTTTTAGATAAAGCAGGAGAACGCCTGAATGCCTGAGCTTGCAAACTTGAACCTGTCAAACGCTTACTTGATATCTCCACAGTTGGAATACTTGTTGGTGATGCGCTGCTTTCGCTTTCAACTAGGGCTAATTTAGAGGAAACTTTTCTTAGTTCTCAGTCACGCGTCATAGAACGTGTTAAACGTCTCATTGGTACATTTGGCCTTGCAATGCTTGTCATGGATGTGCCGCTTTCGCTCGCGATTTCCTGTGTCCTTTCGGTTCCCTTACTGGATTTGACATGGTTCGAATTCCTATCGCATTCAGCGATAACCTCTTTATGCCGATTTCTTTTTTTGTCTTCTCTTACATCTTCGCTGCGATTTTGGATGGAATCCTGGAACTTGTTTGCTCCGCGAGATGTTTTAAATCGCTTAGCTCTCGGTGAGGTGTCCTTTAAATGTGGTAAAAGCCTTTCGAAATCGTTGTCAGGTTTTGATTTTTTTTTAATTAACCTTACCACACCATTTCCGTCGTCTTTTTCGCTCTCATCGTTAAAGCAAATACATCACTGTTTTTTGCCTCTAGATGGGAAATATTAATGTGCTCCTTGGGCATGTGCAACTCTACGTTTGAATCGACTTTAGAACTGCGGTTGGGCATGGATATGTTACCTTTCGCGGAGGTATGTCCAGGTAGGGGCCTCTTAAGCATGCCCATTCTAGCGGCTAGGATCTTTTTTGCGTCCGCATCCTCAAAAGGCACCGCTAAACTTTTCAAGTCCGTTTCGTCTTTTAACAATGTAGAATTTAAAGCAGTTCTTGTTGTCGATGAGCTTGAACTTGGCGGTTTTACAAATTTCTCACTCAATACAGCATCTGCATTATCAAGCACATTTGTTGCACATGCTGCCATCAATATAGATTTAGATTGCCCTTCATTGGCAGGACGATTGTTTTCTTTGTCGCGTAATGTTAACAAGGTTTCATTCGATCCTGTTTGATTCTGCGACATATTTTTAAGTAAAGCTCTGGTAGGAGATAGCTGGGCAGGCACGAGATCTTCTTCTTTCTCTGTGACGGGATTTACATTATCCTTATTGAGTTCATTCCGTTCTTCTTGGATCGGTTCACTCGATTCCAAAGAATCAAATATATCTGGGGTAACATTTCCATCTCTAAACGAAGTACTTGATAACTCTTGATTTTGCGAGCATCCAATTGATGGCCAATTTATTGGCGACATTTCTCTTGTTTCCTTTTCAGGCCCCTGCAAATCTTGTAGAACTTCAGCCGACTTACTTAGCAATGTCATGTTGCGCTCTTTTGCGGGTATGATTTGAGAGCCTTCAATTCAATTCAATTGAATTCTTGAGTAGAGATTTTAAATTGATTGCCTGTTATTGCGTAAACGTTGACAGATTCGACCGTATCCAAATCTGAGTCGTTAGCTCTAGCTTCGTGAGTTTCTGGCGCGAAGAAATAATTCTCTGTTTCATCAACATTGATTAACAACTGATTTACGTTGCTGTTGTCACTATTTCCATCACCGGATGTTGTAGATCTTGATTTTGATGGATAGAGCTGAGCTTCTGGAAATGTTAAATTGTTTCCCGGAAGGTTATTGGTTTTCACACTCTGTACTTGTTGCACCTTATTATCATTGCTGGCCTTACAATTCAAAACTTGTTCTTCTATTGCTATGGGCTCCACAATAGATTCGTTGGTATTACATACATAACTCAATGTTCCTACGGAACAGATAGTATGCCTTCCAATATATTTTATTTGTGCCTTTAAATGATCACCTAGACCAAATTCCTCATTAGGCTTCACACGTTCTTTAATTAAAGGCTTAAGCCGCTTTCCATTTACGTGAGCTCCGTTAGCACTGTCTAAGTCAACGATAAAAATATCTTCGCAAGATTGTATCTCCAAGTTGTATGTAATTAGGCGAATTTCCACTTTTACTGCTCTGACCAATTAAATAATAATTTCCTTTCTCCAAAGGAAAGCATTGATTATCAATTTGCAGTTGAAGGGCGGCAGCACTCTCACTACACATATTCTAGTCTTTTATAGGAAGATTTTTATCTAAGTTAAGTTAAAATTAGTTCCTTAATCCAGTAACGTAGTTAAAAGCCAGTGATGATAATTTTGAGCATAGGTAGAGACTAATGTGACAGAGTGTTCAATATGAGAAGCTCTGTTCCGCTGTCAACCCATAAATCACCGTACTTGGTACTATACAGTCAAAACTCTTGCTAGAAATGCCGACAAAAGAAAAAAAGTGTAGCCGATTCGTGATTGTAAAAGAAATTATGAACGAAAAATCAGCTGATTTGATAAAGGCAGTCACTTGCTTCAAATGCCTAAAGTTACCAGCCCGAAAAATTTCATATAAATTGTTACATAAGCTAAATATACTGAAAGACTGTCTAAGGATGTCAAACCTCCTGCACTTGGGTTCTTTGAAGTCTTTCTGCACGAGTTTTGGCTCGAATTTTTATTCTCTTGTTGACAGACCTACCTTTTATTATACCGATCGACTCAGAAAATGATTGTAGCCTATCGGTCCGTCTGATGCCTGCCTATGTTAATTTATGTTCAAACTGTAGGTCGCAATTTTTGAGATATTTTGATGAAATTTCATACACCGACGAGCAAGGACAAACGCTGTTGAAAATAGTTTGAATTGGTCCGCTTTTTCAGCCACTCGCCATATAACGCCATATTTTCAAAAGTCGTTATATGGCAAAAATTTTCAAAATTTTTTGGACAAAATTGGCTAAGTAATAATATTTCGGCATTCTAAATTGGAGTGAAAGTTTTGGACCAGCTCTGCCCATTTTTTTGAACCTCCTCTCATAAAAGGAAAACTTAAGTTCATACGACAAAAAGCAATGCTTCACTATGAAAATTATATCATAATAGTAATTTAACATAAAAAATGAACTGCGTCAAATTTGGACTAACTCGGTCTATTATTTGGATCTTAGTCTATATAAAGATTTTCACGAAAATTGTTTTGTTTTAATGTACTATGATAAAAATGGATCCATACTAACAGTTTGATACGAAAATTAACTGTGCTGAATGTTGAACACATATCTCAATTCTTGAACATCTTAGCAATAAGCATTCTTACGGAAAGTAGGCCTTTATTTGCAAAGGGGTGTAAAAGTTTAATATACAGTCCCATAATAGCAAGTTCATATAAAAACAGGGTGTAACTTTTGTGATCTCTGGCAAAAATAAGAATTATGTTAGACAATGTGGTGTAGAGTATTCGACGCCCGGTCTAGACCGACTATAATGTTTTCATTTGATGCCTGTTTAGTTTCTACGAATTTTTATAAATCTTTTCGCCAATCGCATCAAACTGCTTTCCTTTATACCGTTGACAGGTAAAGCATCATTACTCCATTTTTGGTTTTACCATTTTCTGAATTTTATTTCTTAGAAAAACAGGTACTTTTCACGCAAACCCATTTCCTCAAAGACCTGATTTTAGTAACAATAACTTGGAAAGATTTAAATTTATCCGTTAAGCGGGTAAGCCGATGCAAATTTATCAGCAATTTTCTTATTTATCAGCTTAACAGAAACTTTCAATTCCTTAGAATATGTGGAACAAATCTTTTCCTGGAATTATCGAGACTTTTTCTCAAGTGCTCGCGAAACAGTACCTCTGTGAAATGAACACCAGTTGCAGTCTAATATCGGACCTCTTGATTTCTAGTTTTTTTCACATACGTACAGTTGCCTTTGGTAAACGCTTCTATTCACTTTCAAGCGTTTGCAAACAAAATTACCGTTAAGTAGATAGGAAGGCAAGGGCGATTCGAAATCCTTCAATGCTCTCTTAAAAAAAATTAAAAGTTTTCGTGCTGGCTATGAAGTCGCTTGTAGGATTATAGGTTGTTTTGCCATTTTCTCCGTAATTTCGCAACAGGTAAAGTGTAAAAACCTGCAAAGACAATACTTTTTCTGAACAACAATGGGAACTGGGATTTCAGACTATTGAAAAATTATATATAGACAATAAAAGACCACCACATTCGTAGTTTACTTGGCACTGGGGACGTGTCTTTTGACCGATTTGGTTCACTTTCGATACCGGCCTGTGGTCAAGAGCTTACAATGTTTCTGCCAAATTTGCGATCAATACATTAATTTTTGCGGCCAGGAGAATTTGTCCGTCTGTGCGGACATGCTTAAATCGATTTAGAATTTGATTCTAAACAAAAGTATATATTAAATACTTTGTGGGATCTCTTATATTTTCTCCTGCGTGTTGCAAACGTTTTGACAAAGTGAATATAGCCGCCATCCGTCGGGGATAAATTCTTTGCACGTTACTCAGAAACTGCAACAATTAATTAATATTTCCATGTTCAATGTTATTATAAACATGGTAGATATAAAAGTTTCAGCCACGGCCAAACATGATTTTTTTACTAGTTTGCCATACTTGGCACCACTTACGATATTAGCATATATTAAATTTGTGTGAATGTGTACAACACTTAGATGATAATGAGATAGATTCAGTCGGAATTATTTTCTCGAATTGGTGTGACCTCACCTATTTGTCCATCTGTCCGTCTGTTGGTCGTGAATTCTTGTGTTCAACATATTGGTTGCAATTTTCGACCGACTTATCTTGAGCGTAGAACGAAAGCTATTGAAACTGGTTGCGATCGAATCACTTTTCCGACCACTTCTTATATAAAGCAGTATGTTGAAAGGCTGTTTTATCACGAAATGGGTTAAGCAAATTTGTGCAACTTGTTTTACTTAATCATTTCTTTTTGTTTGTAATTTTGCTGACTTTTGGTGCAAACCTGAACTTTGCGGTCTTCATCTAGAAGATTTATGCATGCATAATTTGATTATTAAAGTTAGTTTTTGATCATATCACATATGTCAAGTTAAGCATGCTACTGCCCGCCTAATGGAAACATTGACGGGGACATATTGTTTGTTAATGTCAAGTTTTCTAACCTCGCTATCTATCCCAGTTACGATTAACTTTTGAAATATATTTCAAATAAATCAAAGCTTTTGTTAATAATGATTAAAATTGAAAGACCGTAAAAATGAGCCTCTGAAGGTCGCAATTATCCTTTTTTCCAGAAATAATTATTACCATGAATACAAGTGCTTACATAATGAATATTCAACGAATCGAATGAAAACGCATTGATATGAATGAATGCGAAAATATTTAAAACAAAAGGTTTAAAAATTTTTTATTTAAAATTTATTCACATATTTTAATACATTTTCAAGGTCAAATTTTACGCACACATATACATAATATGATTATATGTAAAATTACTGATAAACTAATAACTGAAGATATTTCGTTTTTATTATGTTTCTTTGCAGGTTCGTTTTAAATGCTTTTTGTTTAGCTGCAATATATATAAAATAATAATGATTATTAAACAATTTTATTAAAAACGCAAAACGCAATTAACCGCTACACAAAATACACACTAACTATATTTAAAAAAAAAAATCAATATAGGAAAATATATTATCGCCTTAGGGCGAATCGTATATATTCATCACCTAAGGTTAATACTTATGAAAAATGCTCTACTCTAATTGTGTGGGCGTGTCTCTTACAATTTATAACCTATTGACGAATATAGTATAACATTTTTAAAGAAATCCTCAAATGCTTCCGTTTCTAAGCCACTAGAGAGAGTTGTATTTATACTCAAGTCACTGCCGGAAATTATGGTTTAAAAAAAAGCTAAGAGTTTAGGTTAAAGGGTCTTAAATTTCGAGATTACCATCTATCAACTGGTAGACAAACAACAACACAAATAGTATCTGCAGAGTTGATGTGAAATTGATCTACGGCATCATCCCGCATCTTTGTCTGCATATGACTTGCGCCTTTCATAGTGGGTATGTAAATAGGGAGTATAACTGAATGGATGAAAAAGTGACCTTGTCTTGCTTTTATTGATATTTTGGACGTTCTTTGAAAAGCGAACAGTTCAAATTCGTTCAATTCGTTGTTACTAGTAGTGTTTGTTGATATTAACTGCTTCATCAGACTTTAACAGATAATAGCAGATTAAACTTCTTCTTCAAGTCCCAAGAAATAAGGAACTTCGTCTTCCAACTAAAGCGATTCAGTTTCGGAGCCGATATGGATGGTATGCCTGGACGTGGCTATGGAAAAAAAGGAAAAAATCTGTCAGCGAATGTCTTTTTTTTGGCACAAAACTCGACATATACAGCCCTATTACAGACTATACTATAGTATGCAACCAGGAGTCGAAAAAACTTTTATCAGCTATTTTATGGTATGCAACGAGAAAGCTTTTGTCAGATCTCAGCAAGAAAATGGGGCCAATTCTATCTTCAGTTTTAGATTCCTAGTCTTAAAGCAGTAGCATCTTCGGCTTTCAACTTTATTGAAGACTTTACCATTTGTGATTTGAACCCACAACCATTGAGTCGTTGTTTTTGTTTTGCCTACTCGGCCACTCCTAATAATTAGTTAATGATAATAATGATATCGATTTGGAAAATGATTTAGTATAAGAAAAGGTGTATGTCAAGCCCTTTTGGGTATTGTGTACATCCGCACAGACTTAATACGCCCTTGTACTTGTATGCTAATCGTTGATTACTTTCCTATATCGAACATCATTGCTTTTAAGGCAAATTTATGACTTATTTTGAAGATAATGAAGATCGCGAATGAGCACAAGTCACATCTTAGGCTACATTCATTAGAATGTTTAATGAGTTTGTCGTTTGTTGTTAAATAAAGGGTGTGGCAAAAAATCTCCTTGAAAATTGAAAGAATGACTTTTAATTTAACAATTATGCCAATCGAAAATTAAATGCTTGTTAGAAACAGAATTTTATTACACATACATACTTACATATCGATGCACTCCATACCGTTTTCCCACGAATGCAACGCGAATTTTTTAATGAGAAGAAATGTTAATTTTAGAAGAGTTCCGTTACTCATTTCAATCGCGATTCAACTCATGGTGATGGATATAAAGAAAAACAATTTAAATTACAATAGAAAAACACTCGATTATTTGTTAACAATGCATCTGCATGTCTACAAAAATATTTATATATAATATATATATATATGTATATTATTATGATTGTTGTTTTGGAAAGTTTGTTACTTAAATATTTATTTATATGTATTTTATATGAAATTAGTTTTATAACCGAAAACTTTAAAAATATAAACATAAATAAAATAAAGTTTTTATGCCTTTCGGTTACAGGACTAAAAAGTGCTGTGCTTGATTTATGATGTTTTTATGCAAAAATTTTAAGTAATTATGAATGGATTCATGCCGAAATTATAATTTTTCATTATCTTTTTATTTTTGATAGAAGTTGTGCATGCATGACTTGAACCGTTATTTCGTTAAAAAAAATTTTATTCTTCGTAAGCGTGTTTGCTGCTCCCCACTAAAAATTTCTGTAAAATCTCTTTAGAGAAACAGAGTTTGCTTTAACGCTGCCCATATCAGAAGTGAAAGTCAGTGCTTAGCTAAAAATAAAGCATTTTGAAAAAAAAAAATATTTTTTTCTTATTCAATTTTCATTAATTATTCACAATAATTTGAAAAGATTGGCTCAAGAAGCGCTTCTCTTCTTACCATGTTCCAATCTAAAAAAATTTAAAGATTTTTGCAGCATTATGATGTTTTGGGCAAGAATGTTATAAATCGATTTTTTTTGAATTTTTGAAAATAATTTGCAGCATTGGGAAACTTCGAAGCCTTGTGAACGGAACGGAAGAAATGTGAAAAAATAAAAATTGAAAGTTGTTATGCCACTGAAGGCTGGGCGTACAAACTTATTTTGGCTTTTTTTAATAATGCATGTAACATATAAAAGGCAACTTCAGAGACCCTGCAGAGTATACACATATACATTCCTTATCAGCGCGAAAATGCAAATTGATTAAGACATGTAGGTCCGTCTGTCCGCTTGTGTGTTTGTACGGTGTTTGCTGTTGACATTCTGGTTGTCGTAAAAATCAAGCTATCGACTTCAAAGTTAGCAGTTGTTCCACGCATGCTGGTGTCGAAATGGGGCCAAACCGGCCCAAGCATCCACCTATAGCGCTACGTAAACTAATCAAACCTCTGTTTTTTAAGAAAAAAAAAAATTGGTTTTTTGCTCACTACTCATAAATTTACAAAAATTGGAACCTATATTCTGTGTATTCTGAAAACAATCAGTCACGACTGAATATAATTTTTTTCATTACTTATAGTTATACCCTACACCACTTGTGATACAAGCTATATTAAGTTAGTGTGGACGTATGTAATATGCAAAAGGATGTAAGATAGGCCCATCGTTTATTATACCGATTAATTCAGAATCATAATCTGAATTGATCCTAACCCGTCTGTCCATCTGATGTTGGCCTATGTTAGTTTGTGTTCAAACTGCAGGTGACAACTTTTGAGATATTTTGATGAAATTTGGTGTAGTGGTGTGTTTTTTTACCCAAGGACAGACGTTATTGAAATGGTTCGGATTGTTCCATTTTTTCGGGCACTCCCCATATAACAACAATGGCAATGGTGGCAATTTTTGAACCCCCTCTCGTATGACGGCAACTGAAATCCATACGAGAAAGAGGTATAATCTTCAATGCTTCACCATGAAAGTTATATCGTAATGGTAATTTAACGTACCAAATTAATTGTACCAAATTTTAACAGTCTGGGTCTATTTTTTAGATCCTATCCTAATAGCGATTTTCACCTAAATTGATCCTTTGTAGAGCAGAAAAGTTCTAAATTTCAATATATGGTGATGAAAATTGACCAATATCGGCCTATTTTTTCGATCCTACCCTAATAACGATTTTCACGATAATTGATCCTTTATAGATGGAAAAGTCTACGTTTCAATATATGGTAATCGAAATTGACCTATAATATTATAGTGATTTCATACAAAAATGAACTCTACAAAATTTTGATCATCTACGCCTATTTTTGGATCTTGCCATATGTAAGAACTAAACTTGTACTACATTAGGTTGGGTTGCGGGTCCGCTTCCCCATAAATACGCACATGAAAAATATGACTTTAAATAGAATATACATATATATATATATATATATATTTGTTGTTATTATAAAATTATATCTGTGTAAATAAAGATAAGAATAGTGTTACATAATGTGGTGTAGGGTAGTCGATAGTCGACCTTGCCCAACTATAATATTCTTAATTGTTTTAGTTGGTGATGTCTACAGAAGATTTGGGCGCAGCCGAACACAATATTCTTAGTTGTTTCTGCCAACAATGGCCACGAAGTTTCTGAATGAGCTACGATTAAATGTGAAATTTTGCCTTAATTATGTTTTAAGGTCTTTTCAATGTTTTCCAAACAGAAAATTGCATATAGTTTCTCACATACACTTTACGAATAGCGAAGGAACAATGTTTAATTTGTCAAATGGAAATTTTGCAAATGCAGTAAATACGCTCAATTATTATTGCTATTCTGCGGTAACATGAATCGTTTTATGTTTTTAGTAGCGTATTGTATATATATATATATATGTAGGTATAAAAGAACCACACCTTTCTTTGGTGACAATTACAGGAATGTGTTTAAATTTTTTGTTTGTTCTATTCTCAAGATCTATATTCTCACAGTTTGATTTTGGTTTTTTTTTTTTTCTTTTACACTAATACACTATACCAACTAAACATTTCAGAACATTTTTATGAAATAACGAAAGTAACGATGATGTACTCTATGTGTAGAATGTTGTTTGTTGTAAACTAAAGACTAAATTGGAAACTTTTTCTTTACTTGAAAAAAAAATGTCTTCTAAGTGAAATGTTTTTTTTTTTTTCTTTCCATTTTAAAAGCTTTAAAAATTATATTAAAATTTCTTTTTCTAAGAAGCACTTTAAACTTGAAATATTGATTGAAACTCACCGAAAATGAATTGCTTTTTGAATATCTCTCTTGCAAATTAAAAATACTTCAACTCTAATACGATTATAATTTTTGCAATTTTTTTTTCTGTTATCAAAAAAAAAAAAAAAAAAAGAAAAAAAAAAAAAAAATTATTTTTATATATTTTATTAACATTAAAAATTTTTGAAAATGTCGCGCGATAATTCGCCTCGTCATAGTGTAAGACGTGTGGCATCTGTACAACAACAACATTTACCACCATCTATAATGGAACACGGCGCGACAGCAACTACCGGTAGGGTAAATACTAATAATACAAGAGAAAGCGTTGCTTTATCAACATCAGTTACGAATATAACCACCGTACCGGAAAATGGTAACGATGAAAATCCGATACTGCCACAATTGAGTGGTTCGGGACCAAGCAGGCAGCGTTCGTTTCGTGATCGCCTTAAAGATGGTATTACGGGCAGTTTTACTTGGCAGTAAGTGGGAAAATTGTTTTTATTCATAAACATCATACGGGCCCACACAGCAATAGATGTACATTCATTCATTTACTTCATCGTATTTCCTTTCGGAAATATGTATGCTAATCCTCATCGAAGCATTCAATTAAGCACTTGTTTGCCTTAGCACATAGACGTAAATTTTACTTGTTTCTTATACAAATAATTTAAAAACAAAATGAATTTATTAAGTAATTAAAAAAAAAAAAAAAAAGACAGTCCCAAGTGATCCTATCTAAGGTTAGTTATAAAATGCATTTATAACAACAACGTTACTTGCAAAATATGAACCCATTTATAAGCATGTTTGGGTCTATTGTACATAAATATAATTGTTTCTCCTTTTATGATAAATTGTAGCTTTATACAGCCATGTGCGACGTTTATCGGATAATATTGTATATATACATATATATTTTCGTTTTTTGTGAGCTTATTCTGACAAATTGATTGATGGATGAATGTTATAATATCCGCGACCAAACTATGATGGTGTATAAATTTCTCATACCGTTTGCCACAGGCATGTCGACAATTACATCAACATGAGACATTCAATAAAATACTGATTAGTTTAAAAGTTGCTCCAGTTCGGTTTAAACGATGTTTCATTATCATACGTTCCGTTTATCGTCAATTCGTCTTGTTACATTTTTAGAACACTCTTATTGCCGATATTAAGATGAAAAGGTTCAATATGGCATAAAATATCTTGAATTCAAAGGCATAGGCACGATTCTATTGAGAAACGCGCTCGTAAGTCGAGCACATAGGCAAACAGACAGACAAGTAGACAAAGGAATTGGTAGATAGGCCTCGAAGTAGATGGGCAGCTAGAGATGCAACTGCATGGATTAAGGTACGAAGAGAGGGAAGAGCCCGCGGAAGTAGCTGAATCGGCTCAGCTGACACGTCAAGATTAGCATAGGCAGACAAACACTTCGGAGGCGGCATAGCGAGGCCTACAAGCAAATACAGACAGGTTGTCATAGCTGACGTAGATCATACTGGCGAACACAAGCAGACCGTCACAGTTATGTCGACATAGTCACGCAACCTGGCCGGGTAACATAGACACAGCTAGGTCGACATTTTAAATCGACAATCCAAGATGAAGATCCATGTCGCCTTTACCAAGTTCACAGTCCGTGTTGTCACCCTAGGTCGATATAACCGGCTCGATATAGACAGATCGAGACAAGCAGGCTAGTGAAACATACTTAGGCCACTACAGCTTGATCAATACTGCCGAATACGAACACTACTAAGACGACGTTCCCAGTCAAAGACATTGGCAGGCGGATATACTTACAGGCACCCACATAGATAAACAGATAAACTCGCGCGCATATCGGCGGAAGGAGAGACAGACATGTACACATTAAAGCTACTCAGAAAGATCGGTGGATGGACGCAAATACAAAGAGACGGACCGAGAGACGAATGTAGTGAAATGAATTCAGTATTCAAATAATGCTGCTCAAGATATCATATCAAGTCTATGTGACATGGTTCTGAATGTTACAAAGCAGCGGAAAAGATTCAACATATTCCTAGAGTTGCCGATGGTATGAAAACTTGACAGAGACACCATAACTTTTTTCTGACCAAAGTGAAATTTGGAGTAGTTACAGTCAAAAAACACAGCGAACATGGAGCGTAATCGATTATTGATGTCACTAACTTTCATCAGAATTTTATCTGAAATATATTACAAATATTTGTCAGAACTAGCTAAAAATTCCGATGTACATCGATAACTTAAAGCGTTTTGCAAGCTTTGAGGTGATGGGTGTCCAGGATTCGTCTCAAGGCGAATGCATTATTTTTATTTATGTTTTTTTTATTCAAACGTTTAAAACTCGTTTAGTTGTTCAATGTAACACCGAAACATAAAAACACAAAAGAAACAGAGTAAGCTCATGATCATTTTTTAAAATAGTTTATTTTTCTTTCTAATAATTCATCAGTTATTTAATTTATATGACAAAACCTTGTCCGGGTAATTAATTCATCAATTAAATTTTGACACATTTTATAATGTTATTACTATTAGGTTATCAGAAAAGTGCCTAACACTATATATTACATTAAAATAGAAGTCTTCCAAAAAAACATACATATGAAATGCAATGCATGCAAATAAATGCGATCGATATGTTACTAGACTTTCAAAAGGTCCTTTACGCCCTATATTCAGTTAATGAATAAACCTTCACGAATTAAACATTCCTTCTTTTCAATTGCTAATATTGCTTTAGTAGACCTTCCAGCTCCTATTAATATTTCTTCCCGATGTTACTTTGGATCCCTACTTGGATTATGTTTCATTATTCAAATTCTTACAGATCTATTTTTAGCTATATACTACCCTGCTGACGTTAATTTAGCATTTAACAGAGGTTAAAGAAAGGTTTGTCGGGAGCTAAGTTTTCGCTTTACTTTTCAATTAAATATGCTACATCAGCTAGCGACGGACGGGAATCAAAAGATTGAAGGAAAGTGGAATATATAACTTGTATACAAAAATTCTCGTAAAATGTGCTCGAACTTTTTCTTTGCGGCATAGGCGAATAGATAAGAGTCGCGACTATCAAGTCGATATTCGATAGTCGAGGATTCAAATATGAGAACAATTTCATTTGAGTACTTAACCATAGCTATAGCGAGTGCTCAGTTGGAAGAGAAATAACATTTACCGATTGCAGGCACACCAGATCGTGGTCATTCTCCATCTCTTTCCTTATTTCTTCCTGACCGTCAATGTGTTAGACGTGCAGGAGACATCGTCTCCCGAACGATTGATTATATTAAAACAAAGTACCATAACATGATCATATGACAAAAAGAAAAACGAAGCAGCCGAGATGTACCATTTTCTTTTCCAAGGGATGCAGGGTAGCGGCACATATTTCAGCTCGAAATTTATTAAAATTGGCAAGATTGTCAGAAATAGAAACGGAGTAAATTTATGCATATCCTTATGCGAAACTTACTGTTCACATTTACGCAAAGAAGAAAAAAAAGTTTCATATCTTTGGAAAAGAAGACCTGAGTGTGCTTGCGTCTTAGAAAGGAGGAAGAGATTTACAATAATCGTATAAAGGAAAAAGAAATTTTCAAGTCTTTAGGAATTTGGTACAGAGTGCATGTCCATAACTGGATAGTCTACTTCTCAATTATAACATATCACTCATTAAATTTGTAGAATGAAATTCTGGTGCATAGAATCCGTATGATCTTTAGACGGTATCAAACATGTCACAATTTCGTGACATTCCGTCTATTCGTGTACCAGTAACAGTCGATTAGTGATGATTTCATTTGGATGAAACAAACTATAACATAGTACGGCCAACTGGGCCTCCAAAATGCGACTGCTATCGATACTCAGTTTTATAGTCAAAGTTAGTGGATCGCATAAACTGCGTTTATTTAAACCGCCTTCCAGTTGGTCCTACTGAATACAGCCGGTGTTAATATTCAGCTTTATCGGCCACGTTAGTGGTTCCCCTACTCTGCGCCTACCCTACACCGGTTTCAACTGGTCCACTGGTCAACTGCGTCTTCTCTGCACCGCTCCCGGCTGATTCTCTTAAATACAACCACCACGGATATTTAGCTTCATCGCCCGTGTTAGCGGTTTATCTACATTGCGGCGATTCTACACCGTTATCAGCTGATCCCTTTACATGAAAGCTCCGTGGATATTCAACTTTATCAAGCATGTTAGTGGTACCCCTACTCTGCGCCTATCCTACACCGGTTTCAGCTGGTCCCCCTAAATGCAACCCCCATAGATATTCAGCTTAGTCGTCAATGCAGTGGGTCGCTTAGGCTGTGCCTACTCTGCATCCCAAGTGGTTCCCTTAAGCGCAGCGTTATCGTCAGTGTTAAAGGTTCATGTACACTGCGCCTACTCTACACCGCACCCAAGTAGTCCTCCCGAATGCAGTCGCCATAAATATTGAGCTTTATCGTCAATGCTCGCTGGTAGCCTATTCCGCTCTTATCCTACACAGTTCTCCGTTGGCAGCCGCCATGGAAATTCAGTTTTACTGTCAATGTTAGGGGGTTGCCTACTGTGCATCAAAGTCTTTGGACATTGATTGTTTATCAATCCTAACTATTATCTTTCGAACTAAGCAGGAAAGGTTAAGTGTCGCACAAATGAAATTTTTTTGTCACAAAATGATATTGCACTTCAGTATGATGACTTATATAGTTGAGTTTAAATTAAAGATAGTAATTTCAAACGAAGAATGCACAGTTCGATTTAACAAGGCACATTTTTACATACCTTCTCTCTTAGAAAAGTTTGATACTGAAGTTGGACAGTGTAGGA